TAAAGAGATAACATCTTGCGCAAAATTTTAATATCTTTTTCTCATTTGTGAAATTAACGTCAAAAATATTTTCAAAATGTTGCTGCAGATGCTACTTTCTGATCATGAAAGAGAAGCGTCTACCCAAGTTTCGAAATTTTCTTTGACTGTCTGACACAAATGTTGATGTCTAATAAATTAACTACAGACGGAAGAAAAAAGCAGGCGACGCCGACGATGGGATCGCTTTGTCAACCTTCGTGACTTTTGTTACAGGCAACACTAAAAGTTTAAAACGAAAGATGGATAAAAATCGTCATTAACAGGCAACAATCCCATTTAGGAGTCCTCAGATGATTTTGGCCATTAAATATTTTTGTAGATCTTGTCTTGCTAATCATTTTTGCAATCAAAGTTTCTCTCTATTTATTTCAATTTTCAAGATTATAGGAAAAATTGAAGAACAAAATAGTAAAATTCGTCATTTCAGGGCAATAGAAGATGTCGTTTGACAGTTTTGATGTACACGAAAAATAGGTAGATCTCAACATTCTAAACAGATTTGCCTCGTCAGGATTTCTCTTTTAATAGGGGTTTTAAAGATAATCGACCAAACATTTTACCCCTATGTTTTATCATGTGTCTATGATAAGCCAAGTCAGTCATTTTGGATGACAGGCTGGTTCATCTAACACATTTTAGAACTAGATATCCTTACGATGATAGTGTCCAAGTTTAGTTTTATTTTGCCTTGTAGTAATAAATGTAATGAGCTGACAGGCTTACCAATTTTTCTGAATAAATCACAAGGGTATAACGTCTTAAATTTATTGTCTTATTTAAGTTTGGAACACTGCTTCAGTTGAGTATTTATAAATGTATGAACACTGCTATGTTGCTTTTTTTTTTATAGATTTTAAGTCACAAATGGCTCTAATATTTGGTGTTTTGCAGCATCTGGGGTTAGAAAAGAAGAAAGGGTGCAAGAAGATGAAGTCAGACATTGAACAAAGAATCGTTAAAGGGAAGGGCTGACATGAAAAAGGGTTCTGAACTAATTTTCGTCGTGATTTAAAACTTCCAACCATAATAGGATGTAAAACGCCTGTTTAGGTGAGTGGGAAAGGTGAGTGAACAGAGAAAGCTTATCCTTTAGTCTTCAAGAGTAACACTTCAACGCAATCTTCTGCCATTGTACAACGCTTATTACCACCAGATTTTCCATAACTTTTTTTCTCCGTGAGCTTCATATATTTACCTATCCTTAACTTTTTCTGTTAACGTAAATCCGTATTTTACACTGACAATGACTGCATTATACACAACCATTCCTGTTCATAAATGCTTGTCATGGTTTCTTCGATACGAATGCTTTGTTGTCAAACAGAAAGGTGAAATCATTGAATATAAATTCGAATATAGCGGTCTTTCTTGAATTGTGTACATAACTAGTAATCTCCCAATTTCAAATTACAAATTTCATAAAGAATAACTGCCATAAAAACAATTAAATTAAAAAAAAAAATCAAACTTATGATTAGTGCCCGCGCATAATATTCCATTCTCGTTCAACTTGCTTTTATAGACAGGTTTACAGTTTGTTCTTCTGGTTAGTTGTTAGATGAAGCAAAATTGGTAATTGTGCAATTGCTTAAAGACTACGGTATTTGTACTTTGAATTGAATTAATTTGTTTTGACAATGTTCTTAAATCTTCATGTCTGACCACTGCCCTGCATGCTAAAAGTGATGATTGTAGTGTTGTGGCTTTAGTGTTTTAATGAACAAGATAAGATAGTTGTCCCTGTAAAGTGAAAAACCGAAAAGAAACGATACAAAGTGAAACTAAACGGAACACAGTGGAACAAAACGAAATGCATTGAGACAAAACGAAACCAAACGGAACGAAACAGACCACAGTGAAACGAAACGAAACATGAACTGTAAAATGAGAAACGGAAAGCAACGCAACAAAACGAAATCTGTATTTTTACAAAACGCGAGTCTGGCGTACACGATTTTAATCCTGGTATCTATGGTGAGTTTATTTACAACCACTGGGTTGATGCGACTGCTGGTGGAGGTTAACTCCCTGAGGATTTAACTAGCACAATAGTCAGCACTTCAGTGTTGACATGAATTATCATTGATATCGTCATAGTTATAAATTGACTGTTTACAAAAATTATAATTTTGCGAAATACTAAAGATTTTCTATCGTAGGAATAGATTGCTTTAGCTTTATTTGGATAAACCTCAGCGCTTTTCATTTTCCTACTTTAATTGGCCTTTTTTTACCTTTTTGATTCGAGCGTCAGTGATGAGTCTTTTGTAGACGAAACGCGAGTCTGACGTACATAATTTTAATCATGGTATCTATGATGAATTTGTTAACAAACGTCACATATTTTAATTTGATAAATAGTCTACTTATTATTTGCAAATTACCAACTTAATTCTTTTACTTTCTTGTTGACTAAAAAGTCGAACAATAGTACGAGGTGTGTGTGGCCAAGCATTGTCGTGCTAAAAAACTTCCCTACGGAGGTTCATCACGGACAGCATGGTGGTGTCAAAGGACCCAATATCTGTATCGAACAGTGTCAAGGTAGCCGGAGTTTAGTTTTTCGGGCGTAGGATATGGCACCGCACAAATTCCTCTGCCAAAAAGGGCCAACCTCCAAGGACGTGGTTCATTGCGAACTTCCCATCCCGGCGTCTGTTGACATGTTTAAAACTATTTCTTCTCTGCAGCAGGAATCTTTATTCGTTGCTGAACAAGACTCGTATTCAGTTTTGCAGATCCCTGTCCCTCACTCTTTTGCACCATGGGACCCTTTCAAGTTAATGTCGGCGTCTCAGAACTGCAACAAAGTAAGGACTGCTGGAGCTTTAGCCGTTGTCAGAGTGACGGTTTCTGATTGTCTGTGCCGATATTCGTTGGAGACCTGGGACATTTGATGCTGTTTCTTTTGCTGTCGTGGCAAGGTTTCTCGGGTGAATTACCAGAATGAGATCATAGGTCGGCCATAACGTTGACTGTCAACTTTTGAATCGGATTGCTGGTACCGTTACAAGTATCCAGAGGGTCTAGAAATCGTGCTCCGGTAAACATTATAGAGTCTATTGACTGGTTTCTGTTATTCACCTGCACGGAGACGACAAATGACTATGTTTCTGGTAGCTGTGTTTAGTCTTATCGTATCTAGAACAAAATTAACGATTGGTTTCAATTAAACGGTTAGGTGTCATTTTTACCAATTATACATCCTTAAAGATGATGATTCGCAAGTGTAACGGCCCAGATTTCCTCGTGCAGCGTTACACATTCTGGCCCGAAAATGTCACGTGTGATCAACAGCTATTATAGGGGTATACATTTTTTGTTACATATGTGAAGAATAAAATAATTGTTGCGTTTTGTTGTTGGGAGAGTATTTGAATATATGGTGACATATGATTTAATTGAGACTTGAAGTTATTTATGAATTGTAACCCAAAGTAATTGCATATGTTCTTTATATAGTTGTAGTTATTAAAGGAGCATTAGCTACGAGATATGAAAAATATTAAAATATTATTTGTTTTTATTCAATCATTAATGAAAGTGAAATAGTGAAATAATAATTCGCTTTAAGCAGCCAATTTGGTTCAATTTTGTAAAAAATAAACTAAGAAACATCGCTGATGAATTATTCACTTGCAAGTGAATAATTCGACCTCATTGAATCCGCATTCATGTGACCTTCAACTTAACCCCTTAGCTGGACATGGGTTACGCATGCATTCAGCTATGAAAAGGAAAAGAGTGTCAATTTTGAAAATGAAACAAGGATGAACCATTTGGTTGTCTGATTTGATCCATAAAAAAAAACATTTCTTATACAGGTAACAATGATGATAAATCTACTTTAACCTACAATATGAAATCAAACAGACTAAAAAAATCCAATTGCACGTGGTCACTATCTGTTTAAATTCATATTAATGTTTATATCGTGTTATATTACCGTCGGCAGTCTTCGGGGGATATCTCGATGGTTAATTAGATGACGTCTAGACAAAAATACACACGAAATGTTGATACAAATTATCAAGTCCATGCATTGTTAATTATTTATTTTAGACTTTTTGTAATTTGGATATACGTTTTAGTATGTTATAAATCAAATATGAGAATTTGAGTCAAATCGGCGAACATGAATTTGACAGCTTATGCCCCTTTAATTATTTCAAGATATATAAATTTACTTATAAAAGAAATATATTGTTACTATTTCTAAAGTAACCTTTTATCTGTATACTTCTCTCAATTTTGATAAATTCTTAATATTATGTAATTAAATAATGTAAGAATATATAAAAACTTCACGTAGTACATGCAACTATTGAAGTTAGAAATAACTCTATTGAATATTTTTCTTTAGAAAAACTACGTATAAAGATAATTAAAATTTAATTTGTATAAGTAATGCCCCATACTGGTTAAGACAAACGCCTAGTCAATTCTAAAATCCTTCAATTTGAAACTAATTGCATCACAATGTTTTTTAATGTAAATTAGAATGTGGACTTGGAACTGATCTAATATGAAAAATGTACACTAATATAATGTATTGAAAAAGTAAATTTGGGGTAAAATGTTTGTTTTTTTAGAAAAAAAAATGCTGCAACTTGAAATGAAGAAAAGCTAAAAAAAAAAAGCTCAATTATTCACGGTTAAAAATTTTGAACTCTGATCTTTATGAAATAAATTCATCATAGATACCAGAATTTACATATCATCTTATGTTTATATTATGCATTCCTCCAGTTATAAGTATCAATATGAATGTAATTTTGGGTTCAAATACGTAGTTTTCAGGAACAATAACACTAAACAGAAAATTGGTTAATTCAATTTAATTATTTACATATCATCTTATGTTTATATTATGCATTCCTCCAGTTATAAGTATCAATATGAATGTAATTTTGGGTTCAAATACGTAGTTTTCAGGAACAATAACACTAAACAGAAAATTGGTTAATTCAATTTAATTATATTAAATGTTAGCATTGTTGAGGATTGAACATTATAATATCTTATGTTTGTATGATATATATTGTATTATAGGCAAATGTATATTTGTTGTTACTAAACAATTTTGAAACAGTATGATTACTGACGTTGATTTTGTCAACTTAAAACATTGTTGTGACGTCATTCTATTGTTGTACCCGTTCTTTATTTCAGTGATTGGACTATCATTTATATCAAGAAACCATTATGTTACCTTTAACTGTCCAATATTTTTAAGAATAACCCTCCTCTTCCTTAAACATATTGGACAGCTGGAGGTAGCATAATTGATTCTTACAGGTAAATGATAGTTAAAGGACTGAAAAAAATCCATCAATTCACACAATTTGTTTCTTCATTTTGAAAACAAATTTAACAACGAAAGAACAAATGACAATTACGTATACACCAAAAACAACATTTTTTTTTTATTAAGGTCACTTTCCAATACATTATATTAAGACGGTTTCTTGAAAAAAAAACTGTTAAATTGATTTTAACACTGCCAGTGTCAATACTTTTTTCACAGCCATTTTTCTCATGTTTTGGGTTGTCTCCTTTAGCGCCAAATTCGTTGACAATGCTCGTTGTAAGTTTTGTTATTGGTGCTTTTAGGTCATTATTTTGCACAAGATTTTTGATCTCCTCGTTCGTTTTTGAATATAAAAATCGACATCTGTGTTGCTCTCATTCTTCCTAACATCATTTTCAGCTACAATGAAAATGAAAAAAATAAAAAAAATGCTTCTAACGCTTGATTTATCATGCTGCAATACGAGGATCACAAGTAAAATAATTTTATTATCATGATTAGGAGAAATCGGTAATCAAGTAGATGTTTCACTACGTGTTGATGTGCAAGCCACAGATTGTTCCTTGGACAAAATAGCTAATTAAGAATTTGATTAACAACCTAAACCTCACCCCGTGTACAAAGTGCAAATCAAGAATTTGCTTCATGAACTAGGGGCTACAACATTTTTTTTTATAATTTTCAGGTGTCGGCGTTGATTTGCTAGTTTTTTTTATTATATAATCTGATATTAGTGCCTGTATAGGAATATAATACAAAACTTCGCTTATCAACGACGGTGAATAATATAAGAAACAGAAAAAAGGAACAAGTAACGGCAAGTTATAGAAATCAATCGTGTGTCCGATTCGCACTTTGTTCGTAGTGATCGTTTTTTTTTAGAAACCGATGTAGTCTCTTGAATTGAATAAACGTAGGTGCTAGATTTATTCATATGTTTGTTAAATAAGTTTATAATTGTGTTATATAATTTGAAATAAAATCCTTTCCTGCATTGAATTGAGTGAAAAAGGGAGAGTTATTGAAAAAGGTATTTTTACTATATATAACGTCAAAATACGAATTACATTTGTTTCTTTCCAATGTTTTATGAATAGTTTCAAACACTAAAGATCTCAACAATAAAATTGATTGAATACAATAAACATACATTAAGCACAAAAACAAGGATATGTACACTTACAATGCTTTGTTTTGAAAGAAAAAAAAAAGAAAGCGTTGTTTTCAAATGGAAATCGAGGGACAAAAATATATTTCGGTACTAAACATGAAAAAAGAAAGAAAAAAGGACAGCAATACGCAAATAAACTAAAAAATGATCGACACGACCCTTGAGGAACAAACCAGAAAAGGAAGGAGGGTAATGATCCATTAACATATATCAGCTATGTCTGGAAAAAAAAACTAAATTTCACTTTCCATATATCTTTTCTAAATATTCAATAATTTATGACCTTCACCTGTCTCAAAACACTAAGCAATTCTATTGGCTTTCCCTTTAAACTATGCAATTCCCCTTTCCAAAAATATGACTACATAGGGATTTTCCATTCAAAGTGTTTTAGCCAAGAGAGGTAACTCTCATTTATTTTTGTCCTATCATGGAATAAATGACACTTTGCTTTTATAGTCTGTTTCTTCAAATTAGTTTCTGCAAAGATCAAAGGAAAGTTATATTTTATTGATATTCATATATAAATGATTGTTTTATATTTTCAAGAAATATTAAAACATGATTCTAAAAATCTTAATTATGTTTTAATAGTTGAAAACAATATGTTATCTAAATTTTATCACATGATTGAAACCTAACTGTCTTGTTCTTTTTATGATATATTATATTATTATGCACCTTGTATAAACAAACATCACAAGTATGTAAATAAGAAAGTGTCGTTTCTTGCTGTATATCATATCTGCTTTTCATTTATTATTTTGTACATAAAATCAGGCTAGTTAGTTTATTTTATTTTAATTGTTTAACAATTATCAATTCATGGCCTGTTATCGCTTACTATGCAATATGGGTTTTGCTCATTGTTGAAGGCCGTACGGTGATCTTTAGTTGTTAACTTTACGTCCTTTTGCCTCTGGTGGAGAGAGAGTTGTTTTAATCATGCCACATCTTCTTTTTTTATATAAATCTGCTGAAATGCTCAATATATATTGAAACCATGTGCTAGCACATGCAATTACGTACACTTGTCTTACTTAATACAAATAACAAACAGTGCTTGCCACGTACTGAATTGCGCAGTGACCACCTCAAACTATATATTCAAATATGCTATACTTATATATAGTATTTAAGCTTATCATGAAATCAAATTATATTTTTGAATTGTGTATGGTATGATTATAATAAGAAATTATTCTAAACACATGTGAGTTTAGGTGTTGCAGTTGAACAGAATATGGCTGTAAGTATTTAAAAATTTGAAACATGAAGGATTTATGGATACCTTGAATAAAAATTATAAAAATTAAAAAAATATATCATAAATATAAAAAACATTCCAATGTCTTTTTCGTTTCAGTTGCGATCTTCTGTTTCTGTCCAATTACCTATTAAAGAGTTCTGTCCTTTATTACTGTTTTATTAAAATGGTTTGTTATTCAAAAATAAGAAATGTGTGAAATTTATTGACGGATGCTTAAGTACAAGGTTGGTTTTTTAAACGACATTGACTATCCATGTATAACTGATTGAGGGTGGTTTTTAAGGATCTTTACCCATGAGAGGGAGGATTTTTAACAACCTTGACTACACATGAGGGTCTTGCAAGGTCAAAACAATGATTAGCATTGACGACGAGGATTGTTTCTTACATCCTTGACAGTCTTGCAAGATGAATTTCATCAACGCGAGTGGTGATTATGGACCACTTACACTTTTACACTTTTGTTTGTTACAAAACATATTTAAATCGTTAATATTATGCCTGAGGATTGTTATCAATGTGGTATTTTGATAAATAATCACTTGCCTACCTCAATTGTGTTATCGGTCAAAATATCCCCTGCTGAAAGTAAAGTATCAAAAGTGGTTCAAGGCCAAATTTATTATAGAGTTATCGTTCTTGAAGAACTCTTTTGTGTACCTCCTTTTGTCTCCTGACGATGCTACATATATGCATAATACTCATTTTTTTTCTCTCCCAAAATACCACTTAAAGACACAAAAAGACATTTTTTCAATCCCTCTACAAGAAAGACGTGCGTATCCAATGACTTAAAACATAAATCTGGATGAACTTTATTCAAGATCTTTTTATAATAATTAATCTGCTGTTCATAAATACTTCGTCAAAAGAGTAGATGGTCAGCTTGATCTTGAATTTTGCCTGTGGATTGTTGGGAACAACACAGGGAAATTGAAAAAAAACCATTACAAAATGAAATAGAATTCTTTAAAATGTTATAAACTGAAGCTTCGTTCTTAATATTTGTGGTGTTAGCGAAAGACAAAAGATCTCAAAAGTAAAATTGATTGAATACAATAAACATACATTAAGCACAAAAACAAGGATATGTACACTTACAATGCTTTGTTTTGAAAGAAAAAAAAAGAAAGTGTTGTTTGCAAATGGAAATCGAGGGACAAAAATATATTTCGGTACTAAACATGAAAAAAAAAGAAAAAATGACAGCAACACGCAAATAAACTAAAAAATGAGCGACACGAACCTTGCAGAACAAACGTGAAAAGGAGGGGGTATTCATGTTGTCCGGTTTGGGTAAACAGTAACGGTCTCTTGCAAGACAACCGCCGAGTCAAGGTCAATTTCTATGAACGAGGAATAGGGGAAATTATGAATCAATATATTTTTTCATGTATAGTAGGTGAATACGTCTGATCGATTTCTTGATCTCTGGATATTTTGTGGCTATGAATTTAGATATTGAAACTATATTAATTCATTTTTGCAAGTAAAAGATATATAATATTTGGATCATAATTCTCTTAAAATTCATTAAAATAATATAAAATGGAGGAATTCCGATGAACAACAAAATAATGTAAACTACTTGCACGCTTGTTATCTCTTCATGAGTGATTATTCATAATTTTTAATAGAGTATTTGAAATAAAATCGAGTGCGGTGCACTCGATTTGGTTGAACATTTTTCTTCAACGTGAACCTGTCTTCATGCTTCATGTGTTTTTCATTTTTTTTTCTCATTTGCCTAATAAGAAATAAAACCCCAGAAGGAAGAAGGAAGTAATAGGAGAGGTCTACATTTTAAAATATATATAAAGCTTGCCATAATTAACTGCTATAACTAAATCCTCCTCGTTGTCCGCACTGCAATCGGATATATTTGAACACAGACTTGAATTTAATCCAAAGTTTGAAACAACAAAATCATTATATTCGACACCGCTATCTTCTTTTCGGAATGGATTTTGCATTGAGAATATACTTTCATCATCTTTATCCATTTTAACCAAACGCATGTGAAGGAATTCACGGAAAATATATAATGATGTCCTAGCGCACGCAAAAAGTATGATACACATGTACTAGGTCTTCATGTACATGTAGTTTACCTTCAACTGTACTTTATTCTATCATTGTTTAAGTAGAATTTCTGTTTAAAGGGGCCAAAATATAGGATATTATTAATAAAATTTTTACCCAAAACAATTTACATACTTTATGACAATATATCTTAACAAAAGTTTGTATTTGTTTACTTTTTTAACCTTCTTTGACAAGCGAAACAATGTTTTAAGTAAGATATCAGCCACTAACAGTCCATTCAGTAAAATATTGAACAGGTCTTCGGCCTGCGGCCTCAGACCTGTCCAATATTTTACCGAATGGACTGTTATCGGCTTATATCCTTTCCTTAATTACTTGAAGAGTCACTTTTCCATTTGTTTTCTATTGTTTTCGCTGCACCAGTTTCACTCTGTTTCTTTAACTATAGAGAAATAAGAAGGTGTTGTATGATTACCAATGAGACAGCTATCCACCAGCGACTTTTTTCACAAAAAATCTTACGATTAAAATTGATCGTAAGTTATACTGAAGTGTTCATGACTTACGAGTGTATTAGCAACTATTGGTCGCCGTACGGCCTTGAAAAAATAAACCAAGCAATGTATGTACAAAACAATCAATTAAAACAAATATGATAAGCAGCAACAAACGACAAACACTGAATTACATGCCCTTTACTTGAGGAGAGGAACAAACATAATAAGGCGTTGTATGGTTTCCTTTGCCTTTTGTCATTTGACAACATTTGCATTGCATCAAGTCACATTTTTATACTAACGACACGATTGTAGTTCTCCTTGTCCGGTTGGTTATTTGCTACACAAGCACAAATACCGACGTCTATTTTAAGATAAATTCACTTATTTTGAATCAAGAGAATACTGATAATCACTGAACTAACATAAACGTAGAAATATTAAAGCAATTTCTACGGAAGATTTATCAATATGATTATACTTTCGTATTAATACACTATAAACCTATTTCACAGGAAGATTTATCAATACAAATATAAATTTTGATTAATAAACTACTGTAAAAGGTGTGCTGCAGGAAAATTAATTTGACAACAGAAGATCTTGATTTCGATCATGATTTGTGTTTATCATGACTTCAAAAAGTAAGTGTACCAAAATGTACAAAATGATTAAAGTGATTTAATGTCAGGTGTTGCATATTAGATGACAGGGAGTGTAAAAAACTCCCACCTATTTTACCTTGACAAAACCAACACAAAGACTACTGACTTGAGACAAAAAAGTAATATGATCCAATTAAACGGAAGTTTTACAACAGGAAGTGGTATTGATCGAACAGGATAATATATTTGACACAGAAAATGTAAGTTAATGTGATATTTCCTTCTCTTAAGGTTCATCATAACAAATGGACAAATATGGCTGCATTTACACCTCAAAATCTCTTCTGTGTACAGACTTACCTGTGCAGTTTTGAAAGTTTTAAGGCCTGGAAACCACTAGATATATAAAAGTTAAATGCATTTTGTGTTTCAGAAAGATAAAATCATTTTTCGATTTTGATGGGCATTTTTTTTTTCGTTTTTGCAGAAGGTGAAAAAATAAACAAACACCTGAATATCTTTGATACTGTCCACTCAGTTAAACCCTTTAAACTCACCTATAGTTGCGTAGATACCTATTGTCTGTCGATTGTCCATATCAATCAATATAATACAATACAGTTGTTACCTGAGAGGGAGCATCTCAAAGTTTTATCCAAACTTAGTTTATTTTTACAGCTTCTAAAGGAAGGAAAAATGTCCATCAAAATCCAAAAAAGATTTTATCTTTCTGAAACACAAAATGCATTAAACTTTTATATATCTAGTGGATGCCAGGCTTTAAATCGTTTCCTGCTGCAAAGGTCAGTATGTACTCAGAGTAGTTTTTGAGGTGGAAATACAGCCATTTTTGTCCATTTGTTATGATGAACCTTAAGACTATTAAAACTTTTGATAAATCGTAAATCTCTAAACTTGATAATTGCGAACGTGTAATGCCAATAAGTGTAATGATGTATTTCAAATTTCGTCCATTCGTTTGATGTGTTTGAACTTTTGATTTTGCCATTTGATTGGGGACTTTCCTTTTTAAAATTTCCTCTGAGTTCAGTATTTTTCTGATTTTACTTTTTTCAATACATCCGATTGTTAGCTTGTGATAGAAGTGTTCATTGTATACGGAGCAAATGTTGATTAATAATTTTCAACAATCAAATTATAAGTTACTTTATTCTATTTTATTTTGATTTATATATTTATATGTTAAAAATGTTAAAGCTTACAATTTGCAAATTTTACTATGATCATTATTTCACCACGTATATGTATATATAAACGAAACTGTCTTTAAGGTTCATCTATACACTTCCACAAAAATGGCTGTGTTTACACCATGAAATTTTCTCTGAATACAGACAAAACTGTGTAGTTCTAATAGTTTTAAATCCTGGCAGCACCTATATATATACAAGTTGTATTCATTTTGTGCTTTAAAAAGAAAAAAACTTTTGCGGATTTTGCTAAACATTTTCTTTCCTTGCCACAGGTTGAGTAAAAATAAACATAGTCATGTGAAATCTTTGAGATGGCCCCCCTCAGGTAATGATTGTATTGTATCATATTGATTGATATGGACAATAGAGGGACAATCTACTCACAACAAAGGTGATTTAAATAGTGTAAATGAGTGGACTGTATCAAAGAAAACTCGGGTGTTTGTTTATTTCACCATCTTCTGTGGCAAGCAAAGAAAATGTTCATCAAAATCCATAAAGTGTTTTAACTTTTTAGAACATAAATTGGATGTTACATTTATTTATCTAGGTGCTGCCAGGCATTAAAACTTTTAAAATTACACAATTTTGTCTGTACTCAGAAAAAAATTCATGGTGTAAACACAGCCATTTTTGTTAAAGTGTATAGATGAACCTTAAATAGGACAGATCATAACGCGGTTAATTATGACGAACAGATTATTGAATATTTTATTTACAACACAAAACACAGCTTTTAGAATTATATACTTGCCAACCAAAGTAACAGTTTGTACATTATGTGCCATTTCCGTCAACAAACTATCTTCCTCGCGCTAAAGGTTCATGTGGACCCTTTGGCTAAAATGGCTGCGTTTTCACCACAAAATTTACTCAGAGCACAGACAAACCTGTGCATCTGGAACAGTTTTAATGCATAACATGCCCTAGATAAATATAATTCAAATGCATTGTATGTTTTGGAAAATTTAACACTTAACTGGATTTTGCAGTGCACTTTTTTTCGTCCCTGTAGAAGATGATAAAATTAACGAACAGTTGAGTTTCGCATGTTATGGTCCACTCATATACACAGTTTAAATCACCAATTATTGTCAGGTATCTATTGTCCATCTATTGTCCATGTCAATCAATACAGTTAACTTCAATCATTACCTGTGGGGAAGTTCTCAAAACTCTTTCCCAACTTAGTCTTTTTTGGCACCTTCTTGAGAAATGAAAAAAAGTGCACGGCAAAATTCTGTTAAGTTTTTAATTTACCTTAAAGGAATATTGAGCTGATATACGATATTTACAACGACGCGAAAACGTTTCGCCAAAAAAAAAAAAAAAAAAATGACTGGTTTGTCTATATGGAAATTGAAAATTATATATCCTATATGATATTTGAAATTAACAATTTATGCAATATTTAAAAAGGCTTGAACTTCACTGATGAATGCACCAAACATTTGTCTTTTAACTGTGATTAGTAACATCTAACTTGCTTAACCAAATAGTTTAATTCATATCTAAACATCATATCTCTTATTTTACTGTACCATGTTATTCGTCATTTCGTTAAGTACTACTGCATTCAAAAATTTCTTTGTGGCAGCTATGATCTTTGATATGCAATTTTCCGACTTCATTGCATGTCAATGTACATAAGGATTTTACTCCATTTACAATTGATCAAATTAATTACAGTACTCATTTTGACTTTTGGTATATGTTTAAAATATTAAAATATGCTGCGTAGTTTTTCCTATCCAAAACTACACAAACAGAGTCAAGTCACGGTACCTGTCTCGTCTGTAGCCACGAATGCCAGAAATGCATCTTTGTTCATTATTTAAAAAAGTGATTTCTAGGATATAATGACAACAGTATGATATCGTATTCACTGACATTTTCCCGAGATACGAATGTCAGAGCAATTCATGTTTATTTCACGACAAATAACAGAAAAACTAACTACGTGTTACGTCGTTTTGCAATTCACTTCGATGTTAAATGTAATGTAAAATGTGAGTATTTGGACCATACGCGTATGGCCATGACCATACATGTATACCAACATGTTCCGACCATATTAGTATAATACTCATTTGATTATTAACCGGCGTGCCATATGGGTATATAGACCATATAGGTATCTTTCAAATAAATTATAGCTTCCTTCGAACACGCTCATTATCTGAACCCAAATCGGCACGAGTTATTAACTGATTCCTTTATGTTTACATATTGTCTGAATCTGTATCTGTTATCTTGCCTGTGTTAGAATCAATTAGAGCGTTTTATCTTGTCGACTTTTCCGTCCGTAAGTGACGTCTTGGGCATGGACCTTTTATTTTTTTCCCATATTTATTTTAAATATTGTTTTAAAAACAAAATTTCTTCCAATTTCTACTAATTTTCATTTACTTATTGTGCTCTTTCTCTTTTTCTTACCATTTTTCTGTAAGTGTTAAAATTTATAAATAAGTGCAAATCATAATTATAATTTAGCATAATAAATGACTAAAAACAATTTGAAATATTTAAAATATTTCAATTTAATAACAGCAAAACAAATTTTAAAAAAGAAAGGAAAGAGGGTTCAATAACAAAAATTCATGTGAGTTCAGCAATTGACATCTTGATTAACAGTTCATTTAGATATTTCTTGAAGTAATTTTCATAAGTCGACATATTGCGTTTCGTACAAATGTAAGGATAAATCAATAATGACCATGTAAAAATGATTTTTTCTATATTTTTACTTGTAAGTAAAATTCAATTTATCTCATTAATCATGTGAAATTGATTAAAATATGATTGAATAAGTAAATATTTCAATTTTAGAAACTTTTAATTTATGGGGTATATTTTCAACGTTTGATACGGTACTTTTTGTCCGACACTTTTGCTTTTTATACGACCAAAAACAATTTGCGTTCTTATGATGTTATGGAGTTGTCAGCGTAGTCGTCTTTGTCGCCGTCATCCAAAGACATTTGGTTTCCAGACAATAACTTGAGTATAAGAGTATGGATCTCTATGATATTGTACCACAAGATTCCATACCACAAAAGGAAGGTTGGGAGCAATTTTGGGTTTCTAGTTCTAACTTCAGGAAAATAACTTATGTATAAGTGTATGGATATTTATGAAATTGTACCACAGGGTTCCAAACCATATAAAAAGGGGTTATATGGGTTTATGTTGAGCGTTATGGCCGAAACCGTTTAGGAAATAAGGGGCTAACAAAGGGGCAAAACATTAAGGTTTCCGAACAATAACTTGAGAATATTTTTTTGGATCTCTATGAAATTGTACAACAAAGTTTCATACCACAAAAGAATGTTTGGAATTGATTTTGGGGGTTATGGCCTAAACCGTTTAGGAATAACAATACTTTTTATACGACAGCAAAATGTTTGCGTTCGTACTATGTTAAGACGTTGTATGCGTCGTCGTCTTCCAAACACATTTTGTTTCCAGAAAATAACTTGAATAAAGGTGTATGGATCTCTATGAAATTACACCACAAGGTTTCATACCACAAAAGAATGTTTGGGATTGATTTTGGGGGTTATGGCTTAAACTGTATAGGAATTAGGGCCCAAGAGGGGCTAAACAAGCATAAAAAAGGTAAAGGAGGAGGGATGAGATCTCACAAAACATGTTTAATCCCGCCGCATTTTTGCGCCTGTCCCAAGTCAGGAGCCTCTGGCCTTTGTTAGTCTTGTATGTTTTTTAATTTTAGTTCGTTTATATGTTTTGAAGTTAAGTATGACGTCCATTTTCACTGAACTAGTACACATTTATATTTAGGGGCCAGCTGAGGCTCACCTCCTGGTGCGGGATTTTCTCGCTGTGTTGAAGACCCATTGGTAGCCTTCGGCTGTTATCTGCTCTTTGGTCGGGTTGTTGTCTCTTTGACATATTCCCCATTTCCATTCTCAATTTTATTCTTCTTGGTTCAGGACAATATCTTGTGTATAAGTGTACGGATCTATATGAAATTGTACAACTTTGTTCTATATCCCAAAAGTAAGGTTGGGACTGAATTTGGGGGTTACGGCCCAAACGGTTTAGGAATTACGGGCCAAAAAGGGGCAAAAAAACTAGGATTTTCTAGTTTCCGGACAATAACTTGAGTATAAGTTTATGGATCTCTATGAAATTGTTTCACAAGATTCTATACCAAAAAAGGAAGATTGGGAGTGATTTTGCGGGTTATAGTCCTAACCGTTTAGGAAACAGGGGCCACAAACAATACTTTTCTAAGACTTCGTATAAATTGTTTATTTCTTGACAAATTTCAATGGGGTTTAATTCAAAGTCTTGAATTATTTGGGGTTCTTTATTATGTCGAATCTAACCGTGTATTTAGATTTTGGGTGTTAGGCCC